GACAATAATCTCAAGACAAACGAGAGTTTTTTGACTACCACTCACTACTTTGTGACCGTCAATATGGCTTCAGGAAAGGTTACTCTGCTGCTGATCTGTTGTTAAATCTCTCCACTAAATGGCACCAGTCACTGGATGAATCCAAAGTCAGCTGTGTGGTAGCACTGGACATTGCTGGTGCATTCGACCAGGTGTGGCACCAGGGCCTCTTAGCAAAACTGCAAGTACTGGGAACTGCAGGCTTTATGCTATGTCTCCTCAGTGATTACCTTCATGGTAGATCTCTAAGGGCAGTTCTCAATGGAACCAAATCAGCAAGACATCCTACTGGGGCAAGTGTTCCACAAGGAAGCATGCTGGGACCATTGTTATGGAATGTCTACTTCAATGACCTTCTTCATCTCATCCCAGAATCCCATGCATATGCAGATGACTGTACTCTGACATTCACTTATCCAAGAGAAGAAATACCAGCTGCTCTAAGCTACATCAATCACCAGCTAAGAGGTACATCACCTTGGGGAAACAGATGGCAAGTAGCATTTGCACCTGAGAAAATGCAAATGATAATGGTCTCTAGACTCCATGATCGCAGTGCTGGTGCAGTAGTAAGTATGAATGGGAGGGTGTTGATATCCTTGGGGTGAAATTTGACTCCAAACTGACCCTGAAGAACCATGTTGTAAATCTTGCAAACAAGGCAGCCAGGAAGCTTACAGCACTTCACCGTATCTCGCACCTGCTTGACAGTAGGGGTTGTAAGATTCTGTATGAGGCACAAGTATGTTCACACCTTGAGTATGCTCCACTCTCTTGGTTTGCCTGCCCCCCCCCCCTCATCTGCGACTGTTTGACAGAGTAGAGAACAGAGCAAGACGTCTCATCTCTCGCCTGGACCCATCCTGGATAGATCTGTCATTTCAGCAGAACCTTCAACACAGGAGGGATGTGGGTGGCCTTACTGTTATGTACAAGGCCAATATTGTCAAAGTACCACACTTGGATCCACTTTGAGGACAGCGAGAAGCAAGCTTTTATACCACAAGATGGGCAGAAAACAGCAACTTCACTCTGGCTGTACCCTTCTCCAGAACGTCGCTTCATCTGAGATCATTTATCCCCAGGATGACTCGAGTCTGGAACATATTTGTACAGCTGATCAAATGAAAATGCTGGCCAACAGATGGCTTCAACTTCATCCTGTTCCCTACTTGAATGTTTCATAACAGTAAAATTACTTGTATGTTTCATAACAATAAAAAATGCTTTCAAATGAGCTGATGTAAGTAACAGCTCTTAGCTTGACTCAAGAAATCGTAATGACACGATTGCAAACAAATCATACCCCCGGCCGGGATTGAACCCGCGGTCATAGAGTCTCAAAACTCCAGCCCGTCGCGTTAGCCACTAGACCAGCTAGCCACAATAAGATTCATCCAACTAGGTATATTTCTACACCATAGGAAAGTTAGCACAGGCACCTCTGTGACCACAAATGCAAGTTTTTACAGACGAATCTCCAGCTAGCGTGGCCGTGACGAACTCTAGCTCAAGTCCCTTCACTGCCGTCAACATGACGGGACTTGAGCTAGAGTTCGTCACGGCCACGCTAGCTGGAGATTCGTCTGTAAAAACTTGCATTTGTGGTCACAGAGGTGCCTGTGCTAACTTTCCTATGGTGTAGAAATATACCTAGTTGGATGAATCTTATTGTGGCTAGCTGGTCTAGTGGCTAACGCGACGGGCTGGAGTTTTGAGACTATGACCGCGGGTTCAATCCCGGCCGGGGGTATGATATGATTTGATAACAGCTCTTAGCTTGTCAATAAAGTTAGGAATCCTTAACCTGTAAATAGCTTGTCAATTAAGATAGGGATCCTTAGCCTAACCTTGTCAAACCCTGTGTAAAACACAGGCATCCAGTCAGGCAGCCAGCCAGCCATCAATTGTGACTGTGAAAAGTGTGCAAAGTGGAATGAGTTGCAAACTTTTATTGAAAAGTACCACCCTGACCAAGCTGAAACAAGCCATATCTGCAACATGTTCAGTGACAAAACCTTGTCCCACTTCAAGGACAGAGCATTCTTGACAGTTATTTTGTGCAACAGGGATCCAGTGACTCTCAAGCTGGTCCTAGTGGCTTTAAAAGACAAAGAAGGGAAGTAACCCCAGATAAGGACTTGTTACCTAAAGTCTTTATGGAAGGGGATTCCCCTTCCAAACAATAAGTCCTCCCTCTCTCCTCTCCCTATCTTCCAGATGCCAGCAAGTCTCTTCAATAAAGGTATGTAAATGTGATTTTAAATGTTTATTTAAATTGTAATTTATGTATTGTATAATATAGTGTATATGTATTTATCTGTGGTGTGTGTATGTAAAACTATAGTTATTCTTTAAAAAATGTATATTTTGTGAATATTTTTGTGGGTTAGGAACAAATTAATTTTATTTACATTATTTCTTACGAGAAATACTGCTTCACCTTTCAGCCGTTTCGCGTTTAGGCCTAGCTCCTGGAATGGTTTATGGCCGAAACCCAGGGTTTCACTGTAGTTCTTGTGATTTCACAGCCAATCTTTGTTCTGACAGTCACAAACACTGACAGGTGAACATTTTCACCTGCCTTGATCACTTACTATTGTCTAGAAATATATACGAAGTATTAATAGGTCCCAGCAATGTTTTAGACATGCTGGAGTATATATGAAACTCCTTGAAGCATGGTGTATTATTACTGTAAGACAAGTGTCACTTCACCGCTGACAGTGCAGCTGACAGTATAGCAGTGAAGTGACACTTGATGATTGTGCAGTGCTCCAGGGAACCCTGGCTTTATTTGTTTTCACTGTTACACACAAACATATCTGTCTCTCTGTATCTGTCTGTCTGTCTATCTGTGTCTAGGTCTGCTTATCTGTCTCTCTGTCTGCCTGTGTGTGTCTGTCTTACTGTCTGCGTGTGTGTGTGTGTGTGTGTGTGTGTGTGTGTGTGTGTGTGTGTGTGTGTGTGTGTGTGTGTGTGTGTGTGTGTGTGTGTGTGTGTGTGTGTGTCTGTCTTTTCATCTGCTTGTCTCTGTGTCTCAGAGAGCGGCTCGTAAACCAACAGCTATTACACACGATGTAGAGTCGTCACGTCTGATTGCTGATCAAGTGAAAGTGTGTATTACTTGCCAGTCATGCTTATTTTGCCTTATATCTACAAGCACTACAAAGCACTTTGTCTGAATTTTTTGGGTTATACTAGGTAATTTACACTATGTATAATAACTGTACTTGTGTATCTGTGAGAGAGAGACAGAGATAGACAGATACAGAGATACAGACAGACAGACAGAGACAGACAGAGCCAGCCAAAGCCAGCCAGCCAAATACGTATTACCCATGTTCGAGAATTGTTTCTCTTTACTTAGGGCATAGGTTATAGGACATTCTGGCAGGATGACACTACCAGTGGTATAAAAAATGAAAGGATGTTGCACACGAGTTATTATCGAGGTTTTTGATATTTCCTCGACCACTTGTGGCCACATCCACCTCAAAACCACTAAACTCTGGGTCAACATCACTTTCCTCTTAAAAGGGGAGTGTTAATATGACATAACATCAATGAATCCCTGGTGTTTGCCACACTATCTGCTCTAGCTGGTGCTCAATAGAACTGGGCTCCCACAAGGTACTAATGGGTCCCAGATTTTTTTAATACTGTTCACACCAAGTATTAAGAACCATTCTGTACTGCCCAGGCATCTCAGACCAATCATGCCAAATTTGGAGGCAGGAAAAATAAAACGTTGATCTACGTTTGGAGCGCTAGCAGTACTAACGTAGATCTATGTTTGGACAGTTTAAGGTTTAAGGGTGATGTATGATGTTGAGTTTGAAATCAATTAAAGTGTTTTAGGGGCATATTTAGGGTTTAAACGATAAAAACAGGCATTAATACATAATTTGTTAACAGTGTCCAGAACTTGTGGTTCTTCCAAATTCGTGGGTGGTCTTGGAACGTAACCCCTGTAAAATTAGGGGAAGGGGGACTATTGTAATGCCTTTCTAGAAATAAATGAGAGTTGAGGAAGGATGGAATAAGAACAGGAACAATAATGGAGGAAAGACAGGCTTTCAGGATTTGTTTAACATAATGAATTGTTGTCAGGATCACATTAAAATAAGAAAGTGTTTTTTAACAGTCGCACTGAAGTGGTTAGTGAACATGTACACAATAACCCAACACATATGAGAATGAAACATGTGACCATGTTTTAGTTACATACAACTGTGAAGGGAAGGGAGCCAATATATAAACAAGGGGGAGAGGGCAGGGCCAGTGGTAGTACAAGAGGAGGCAGTAGTATAATTATTTTGGTGGTGATGGGTGGATGGGTGGGGTTGGGTTGGGTGGGGTGGGGTAGGGTGGGGTGGGGTGGGGTTGGGTTGGGTTGGGTGGGGTGGGTTGGGTTGGGTGAGGTTGGGTTGGGTTGGGTGGAGTTGGGTTGGGTGGAGTTGGGTTGGGTGGAGTTGGGTTGGGTGCAGTTGGGTTGGGTTGGGTGGAGTTGGGTTGGGTTGGATGGAGTTGGGTTGAGTTGGATGGAGTTGGGTTGGGTGGGGTTGGGTTGGGTGGGGTGGGGTTGGGTTGGGTGGGGTTGGGTTGGGTGGAGTTGGGTTGGGTTGGGTGGGGTTGGGTTGGGTGGAGTTGGGTTGGGTGGAGTTGGGTTGGGTGGAGTTGGGTTGGGTGGAGTTGGGTTGGGTTGGGTGGAGTTGGGTTGGGTGGGGTTGGGTTGGGTGGGGTTGGGTGGGGTTGGGTGGGGTTGGGTTGGGTTGGGTTGGGTGGAGTTGGGTTGGTTGGTGGGTGGTGGCATGGTGGTGGTGGTTGTGACAGCAGCAGCAAAAGCAGCAGTGATCCTTTTTCTTTGTTTTCATCTTGTTCTTAAACTACCTCCAATAGTTACAGTCAGATGTGTTCAACACACCTGACCACAACTCTCAAATAGTAATGAAACTAACCTTTTCGCTGAGACTTATACTAATATTCTCCAGTTCTTGTACCAGTCGCTGCATCTCACGCCCTGCCCGATCCTTGTCTTTGTGAATGCTGCTAATTTCCTGACGTATGCCTTTGATTTTCTGATTCAATTCATCAATATCATCTGAAAATAAATTTGTTTAGACAATGAGAGAGAAACACAAACTTGAGGACTGTGGGAGTGCACTGATTACTTTGTAATAAGTGCAATATCCTCCCCATTTCACTTATATAGGTTCGTACAAATATGAAGAGCGTGTCTTGCACTCGGCAGACAGAGGGTCAAGAATCCACCAAGTCTTGCACTGAATGACCCACATGGATTTAGAGCTTAACAAGAATTAAACAAACAATCACAGCTTCACTTCTATTACCACCTTTCCCTCTTAAAGCTCTTGTACAGGCTGAAAAGTTTAACATCAGTCTTGTACACATCATATAAAGCCTAAATTAAAGAACAAAAAGTCACAATACCATGACTGGAACGATACACAAATAACCTGCACACAGGAGAAAGAAACTTATGACAATGTTTCAGTCTGACTTGGACCATTAACCCTTAAACTGTCCAAATGTAGATCTACATTTTTTCAACATTTGAAAGTATGTAAAAACAAGTAGATCATATTTTTTTTTTTTACATTGGAAAACGTGTAAAAAAACTTGGATTACTTTTTTTTTTCTGTTATATTTGAAAATATGCAAAAAAAATGTAGATCTACTTTTAGAGCACTACGCATGTGAACATAGATCTGCTTGGACAGTTTAAGGGTTAACTAGTCAAATTAACACACGAAGGTAAGGATGCCAGTACACAGTGGAACCCTGAGTTTCAGCCATAATTTGTTCCAGAAGGCTGTTCGAGTGCCATTACGGAATGGATTTGTTCCCATAAGGAATAATGCGAATTAGATTAGTCCATTTCAGACCCCCAAAAAACACTTACAAAAGGACTTACAATAATACACTTACATAACTGTTCAAGTTGGGAGGTGGCCGAAACTCGGGGTACCACCGTATATACAAGTGGAGGGCAGGAACGAGATATAGAGGGGAGGAAGAAAGAAGTAGAGATAGTAGTGGTAGAGATATTGCTGGCAGTGGAAGTAGTACTAGTAGTGGCACAAGACAGAAAGTGGACTGATGTGAGGCAGTAGTAGTGCAAGTTGGCTATCACTAATCTGGCATCATCGGGACCTGGAGGGTGCCAGATTAGTGATTTTGCTGAATTACAGAGTGGTTAGGTTAGAATACACTTAACCCAACAACTAACCACCTCATGCTACCTTTAACCCTTTCAGGGTTTGTGCCATAGTTCTACGGCTTTACGTTGAGGGTCCAAACCGCAGATCTACGCCATGAGCTCAGCTCACTCTGATAAGCTGTGAGTGGTAAATTTGGGCCTAGATATGAGAAAATACATCTATGTGGTATGTGTGCACCACATAAAACAAATCCTGCAGCACACAGTGCATAATGAGAGGAAAAAAACTGAGACCGTAATTTTCTATTAAAACAGCAACTTTGCGGTATTTTTTTCTGTTTTTTTATAGTTGTATTTGCAATTTCTTGGTCTCATTTGATAGAATGGAAGATATATTACAGAAATAGAGATGATTTTGATTGGTTTTAGTATTGAAAATGGCCTGAAACTGAGCTCAAAGTAGCAGAAATGTTAAACTTTTGCCGATGTTCAAAAGTAAACAAATGACCTCACACGTCTAATACACACCAGCTGGTGAGTCTAATATACGTTCACAAATGTGCTGATATTATTTATATAATCATTACAATATTGCATGACAATAAATCTTTATTTTTTGGTTCGAATAAAAATTCATTATGTGAATTAAAAATCAAAATGGAATTCATTTGTAAAGCCTGAAAGCATAACTAATGAACAGAGGAAATGTTAGTTTAATGCCAGGAATGCCTGCATTGTTTATTCTGGACCCTATTTTGAAATTGGAATATTTTGAACTTTGCACTAAATTGGTCAAATTACCAATTTCCAATCACTTTATTTTGTAGTTCAAACAGTTGAGTTGGTGATTTCTTGTGCTCAATTGATAGAATAGAAGTAATACTAGTGAAATAGCTAAGAATTTGATCGACTGGAATAAGGTAATTGACCTAAAATGGGAGTAAAAGTCGGCAAAATCCCCTATGAGTAAATATCGCTGACACATCAAAATTCGTGAGAGCATAATTTCGTCAATTTTCCATCAAGTTTTGTACTTTTTGTTTTATTACCTTCGGAAAAACATTCTCTTCCATTTCATAAATAACAAAATTATTTTTTTCTTGGACACTGGAGCGCACTTTGAAATTTGGCCTCTGGACCCTGAAAGGGTTAAAATACCCAGTAAATCAGTACACAGTGGTTAACCCTTTCACTGTCTCAACCTCTTTTCACAAATTAGCTCCCAGTGTTGAATTTTCAAAAAGAAAAAAAAAATTATTTTATCTTATGAAATAATAGAGGATCTTTTTCTGATGGAAATGAAACCAAAAGTACAAAATTTGATGGAAAACTTATGGAATTTTGCTCCTGCAAATTTAGCAGTCTCAGTGATATTTAACCCTTTCAGGGTCCGTCCCGTAGATCTATGGCTTTACGGTGAGTGTCCAAATCGTAGATCTACGCCAAAATTCTAGTGCCATCAAATTTAGCGTGAAAGCACACATAGGCCTACATGTGAGAGAATGGGTCTGCGCCGTGGGTGTGCGCCGTAAACAAAAAATCTAGGCGCCTGCATAGCATTGTGGGAACGCCGGCTCAGTCACCCTTGTTCACCATGCCTCGTCACAAGTCAGCTCTCACTCCCCGGAAAATTGGGACTCTCCTCTTCCTGTCTGATAGTTCTGACACTGATGGAAGTGGAAATGAAGACGAATTCTAAAGGCTTTGATAAGTTAGTGACCGAAAATAATGACCAGGATATCGATAATAGTGCAGAAAACCCCGACGATCCTCGACCTTCTAAACCCCTGGTGTGGGCACTCGTGACTCACGGGCGGGTTTTTCCAAACGTAAGAGAAAACTAATATTTTTGCGTGCCAGGCCTCTGACTTTAGTAATGACGATGATTCTGACGTGGATTGTGATTTTTTATTGAGCTCGACGATCATTCGAGTAGTGATAGTAGGAATCATATTCACCGTGAACGTCGGATGTTCGCCGCCGCATGCGCTCGGTAGTGTACCCATTTCGTGCCCAGGGGATGGAGTACATCCCCCGGGGTACATCCCATGGCCCCTACACCCTTTTAGGGAGTGATAGTGAGGATGATGTGGCTACACTTGGCATGGATGAGCCCACAGGCATCAGTGGATGGGGTTAGTGGTGCTGGGGGTGGTAGTGGGACCCGCCATGCGTGACTCACCGGCCACGCGGGGGCCCATGCTGCTGGGCCGTCAGTTCAAGGACAATGCGGAGTGTCAGCCACCAGCCCGCCACAACCACAACCACCCGTACAACCAGCCTATGATGTCCAGTATCCACCAGAAAAAACCCTAATGGGGATTGGCAGCAAAATCCCAATTTTGTTCCCAAGCCTCACCACTTTGATGACTCTCAAAGTGGGAAATTCTACCTACCTGGTCCCCTTGGAACCACAGCCAATGAACTGGAATTCTTTTATTATTCTTTGACCAGCCATTGATGGAAATTATTGCCAGGGAAAGTAATAAAATTTCAGTACACCACGGCAAATACGATCTTATCACCACAGTCAAGACTACACAGGTGGAAAGAGATGACTGTTGCAAAATGTATTTGCTTTTTGCAACAATAATGCTTATGCCTCACGTCTATAAGCATAATATAAAAGCATACTGGTCCACAGATCGCTAATTTTTACCCCGGTCTTCAGTGAAATAATACCAGTGAACAGGTTTATCTTACTGTTACGTATGTTGCACTTCTCTGACAAAACCGGCCTGACAGAAGTGACAGGTTATACAAGATTAGAAATTTTTTTCATGTATCTCAAACAAAAGTTCGGGATATACTTTTATCCATTCAAGAATCTTGTAATTGACGAGTCTTTGATTTTGTTCAAAGGTAACTGTCATTCAAGCAGTATATACCGAGCAAGGGGAACCGCTTTGGTATAAAACTGTTTGTACTCTGTGATTGTGACAGTGGCCGGGTGTTGGATATTGTTGTATACACGGTAGTAAAACATTGAAAGATCCCAAAGATGTTTTTGGGTATCTCAGGTGACGTAGTGAGAAACATGATGGCACCTTATCTTGGTAAGAGGCATACATTATATACCGATAACTGGTACACAAGCCCATTACTCATGATTTCCATGCGAGTGAACAAGACAGATGTGTGTGGCACAGTGCGTTCTAATCGTAAACATATGCCCAGGCTCAATGCAGGTGTTCGTGGTGATGACGTGCAGGTGTTTACTACCAATGACATCATGGCATTACGGTGGCATGACAAACGAGATGTCACATTGTTGACAACCACCACCGTAATGAAATGCAAGACAGTGGCAAAGTTGATCGAGTGACTAATGAACGTATTCAAAAAACCAGTGTCAGTGATTGATTATACACAAAACATGCGCTTGGTTGACAAGTGTGACATGCAGATTGGTTTTGTTGACTGTGTTCGTAAGAGTTACAAGTGGTACATGAAACTTTTCTTCCATCTCATGGACATTTCAATGCTCAATGCATATAATAGTACCAAATAAAGACTGGTAACAGACCACCGTATGGTTTAATTTTGTTTGTCTGTTGTCAGACAACTCATAATGAAGTACCAGGTAACAACACCTGCAATACAACATGTCCTCGAATTCCTCAGGGTATACCCAACGTTTGAGGAGAGAAGGTGATCATTTCATAATACAGCTTCCTTCAACTCAAAAGAAATTTGCTCAGAAGAGATGCATTGTCTGTGCACAAACAAAACGACGGCAACAAAGAAAGCAAAGACACTCGGTTTATGTGTGAGGAATGTAAGGTGCCTCTGTGCATGGTGCCTTGTTTCAAGGAGTTCCACAAGCTCCAGCAGTTCTGAAACCATGTCCATGATTGTAAATATGTAAATATATGATAGAACATTAGTATTATACAATATTTGTGCATGTTTATTGTAAT